TCTCGGAAAACTGTTTGCTTCTCGGAACAGATAATGTCCCTGGACAAATATCCGAGAATATTTCCGCGCCAAATGGAGGCTAGTGTTTATTTATACCGAGGACTTCGTTATATATAGAGGTTCGTTAAATCAAAGTTTCCTGTACTACGCACTCACCTGAATGGTCCATGAAGATCTGTTTGCCTTTCTGGTACTCCTCCTCAGAAATAAAGGTTTTCAACCTCACGTCATCAAGGCCAAGTTTCTCCAATACCTCTGCTGTTACAAGAATTTCTTGGGCGATTGCATTGAGATGGCCGCTGCTGTAATCTTCCCACAGTCCTTCCAGAATCTGCAATGAGCTGCATTCAACTGTTATTAGCAAACTACCCACATCATGTTTACGCACAAAAGCCTTTAGTGTATATCTCAGGTATTGAAAGACCAATTCAACAGATCTTTTAAATGATAAAATCACGGTCCAGATGCGTATCTCTGTAGGGGTAGCCAGTTGTTTTCCAGAGTCAGAAGTACCCTCCATCTCTTCTTGGTCAAGGACAGGTATTGCACATATCCCTTGTGACTCGCCAGATTCGTGAGGGATCTGGGGCCTGCCAGATGATCCAGTCCGTTTGATACTCTCAGCGATATTCACAACAACGTTAACTATGACTGTCACTGAGAAAACAGAAAAACCAGAGCATTTTAGAATGCGGATAAGTCCCTACTAAGGGCAAACCCACGAAAAGACGTACTGAGGGTGTTCGTCTTGGCTCACGGAAAAAGCGATTTAAGGTGTAGGTTTGGTAAAAAAGATAACGTCCTTTAATTAACAATTTCTTCGGTAGAAATCTGTACAAGACTGGGCCTTATTTGGACTCAAGGGCATAAAACCTGACAACTGACCCATAGGAATTAAAAACCAAACCGTTATGTAATCTCAGCTCTTGATGAGTAACATTTTTGTTCGAGAAACTAAAACATCTGAATTAATGCCTTTAATTTGGGATTCTTATTCTTAAAAAGGTGTTACAATTGGTTTTTCAAACTCGCTACGGTGGCTACGGTGGCTAAATAGTGAAGAAGCTCACTTACCCAATGACAGAACCCAACAGTTTCTCTTGAGACTAATTATCGATTCGTATTGCCCACGCGCTCCCGGGAAACACTCAAAGCATCCCTAGAAACTCTTAATTTATATCACCGCTTTAAATCAATTAGAAACGTCTAACTTACCTGGTCGCTGAGACTGTTTAGCGACCTCCTCTTTTAAATCGCCCATCTGAATTTTAAACTCTTCTTTAAGTTTCTCCACCTCAGATTTAACATCCATGTCTTGCTTGTACCACGTATTGAGTTCTTCAATATACCTTTCCTCTCCTGGTGTTAGCGCATTACGAAGAAAACCATCAATGGACTTCTTCCACTCATCTTTCTTTTCAGGACTTCTCCTTGCAGCAATTCTCATCAGGACCTCGCTTATTTTCCCCCAAAGGTCATTAAACTCGGTGTCAGTTATTTCCATCGTCTTGCTGTGGCCATATACTTCATTACGGTAGTAATTGATACGTACTAGATCTGCCTCAAGACTATGGTCTGAGCTTTTTGGCAAGACATCCCATCCTCTGGGCCCGGGAGGAGGGGTGAGGTTGCATATTGTCCTTAATAACCTGAAGGTTAAAGTGATGTCGAAATCGGTCGATTTGCCATACACACCTGCGGATGGGTACAGGCAATCCCACTCCGGTTTGGTAAGTCTCGCTCCCCTCAGCTGTGTCTTTATGGCAGCATCACTTAGTCTCAAGGGAAGATCAGCTGGTGAGTGAATGGAATCAAATGTCTCCCTTAACAGCCTCAGTCCTCCGCACATCAGAAGTCGTGTTAGCCGTTGAAAATTTGCTTTAGCACTGGTCGAACGTAACACCTCTTCTGCATCTGCGAGGGACGCCATGCCGTGAAATATTTGTTTCTAAAACAACAACAACAACAACAGTTTATTTCTACTACTGTAAACAACTAAAAGAATTGGATCATGTGTATTTTGTGCACCTCTCGACCGATATATCGACCGACACTCGACCGAGGTATCGGCCGATATATCGACCGACACTCGACCGATATGTCAGTCGAC